ACATAACCTACCCTGACTCACTGAGAAGTAATAATGCTTCAACTTAACTAGTTACATACTCTAACATGACTTACTGTGGAGTAACAATGCTTCAATTCTATAAATAGTGTATAATATCACCTGATTTCCTGAAGACTATCGATGTTCCAATTTCACAAGTTATGTGTACACTCACCTGACTTTCTGAGGGAAATGCTGTTAGATAGAGATATGCCATAATAGTTCTTTGCAAAACATTGGTATATTCCTTCGTCTGTAGCCAATGGTTTAGAAAAGTAAAGAGTGCCTATTCCTCTGTGCTGGATTATTCTTTCTCCAAACAAGGCAGTGTCAAATGGTTCTCCATCCTTTGTCCCAGGAAATACCCGAATCAGAAAACTGACTTTTCAGAACCGTAAAGAATGCAAGTATATAACCTAAAAACCTCCATATATATTCACATTTAATGAGTATATTACTGTAATAACTCTCTTCCAAATCAGTGGGCAAAAAAATACTTTGTTAAAAACGTAATCTGGCTTAATTTTATCTTGTTCATAACAGACAATAGAGTCAGCTCTATGGTCTGTTATATATTATTTATTCATTTCTCTTTTGTACAGTTACTACTAAATTTCCTGTTCGAACCTACTGTTATTAATTGGGCCTATTTAATACTTGCATGGAAATCAGTTCACCTGAGAATACTACAAGTAGATAGGAAGGTGAAATTTTGGTGCCATGACTACAGAATGTATTACAAGGTTTTCTATTTTTGTTAATGTTTATACTGGCTCTTGCTTGACCTTTTATGTTGACTTATAATAAATAGTGTTGACTTATTATAAACGTATAAGTATTCACAATAACTAAGAGGAAGGATTTTGAGAAGCAAGGATAACTGACATTCGTTAACATGGATTGACATCACTTGAGGAGGTCTTCATAAGACTCCAAAGCTGTTTGTTGCCAGCCAGAGCAACTCAGTCCCAGCTCTTGTTCAAACCACAGAGATCAGCTGAGAAGGACTGGATGTGCTACTGGTGGACGACCTCCATCAATTAGAGCTGTTTTCTGGGCAAGTAAAACAGTGGGCACTAACAAATAAAAGCTAAAACAATCATTAGTTCATGATATCCAGTGATTGAAAGAAAGTAGCATTCCTTGTTTTTTGAGCTATTTGATTGTAATGTCTGGTAGAATATATATTAAATTTCGCGACTACTACTCAATCATCGAAGTTAGAATCAGCATTAGGTCGAGCACCTGTTAACTGAAAGGAAATGACATTTCTTGCTTTCCAAGCTATCAAGTGATGCACACTGAAATTCACGTACTACATTGTGTGATTTTCACTTGGTTATCCAGTTTGAATGCTTCTTTGGTCAAGAAACCAATAACTGAAAGGCTTTGTGACCCTTACTTTCTGAACTAAATGCTATTGTAATATATGATTTATGTATTACATAGTAAAACTGTCATTAGTCGTTCGCTGAGTTTTAGAGTTATCTTCATTTTAAGCGTGAAACATAGTTAGGGGAGCATTGGCTCCGCCATGGTTAGAGTAATTTTTAAATGAAATTGTTTTTGTTTTTTTGTCTTGCATTTCACAGTTCTTGTGTACTTGCGAGATTAAAGTTAGGTAATAGCAACTTAACTTAGGGTTATTTTTCATTAATGGTTTCATTTCGCTCAATCTAACTTACAGTGGGAAGAAAGCAAACCAACAGGAGTATTTTGCTTTTAAAGTTTTCACTATCTCTTGCTGGTCCTACACTTTATATTTAAAGCTTCAAAGCACAAACAATAACTTACCCTTTGTAATGCATTCTGTCAGTGGAATATTTTTATTTGTATTGTTAACTGTGAATCATTAAATAGTTATTTTTGTATAAATATGTGTCTTCCTTTATGACTGTCGCAACTCATTCAGTAATATACACCAAAGCGTGAGATCCGAGAACTTGCAGTTATTAAAAGACCTCATTTTTTGATTTGCTAGTCATTCCAGAGATACCGTATATGATAGATCACCCATCCCCCTTCTAAAGGGGATAGGTTATCTTTGTTGAAGGATTCTATGTTATGTCCTTTTATTTTATTTTATATTTGTGGCCTGTTAGACTACTCCCTTATAAGGAAGATAGATATTTATTGTTAAAGTTTTTTGATGTATTTATTACATATTCTTTAAAAGGTATTTTTAAGTATATGTTAATATGTACTTGTATATTTCTCTTCCATGTTAAAAGACATTTAATGTAATTCTTTTATTGTAATGTGAGGTAATGTCCTTTTCACTTACAGATGAAGGGTCGTGGTTTTGTGTATTATCACATGTTTCAAGGTCATATTCAAAGTGTTTTCTTTTTATTTGTGTCATTTTCTTACAACGTATTATTGCATTTTATTTTAAGTTTTACCTTTAATTATTTTATCTTGCTGTAGTTCAGTGTAGTTCTTCGTTAAAGAGTCGTGCCGTCCATGTGGTATGTACATGTTTTTTAGGAACAAAGGAAAGTTAACGTACTTCTTGGCCATGACACAAGTTTAAAGATTATAACCTTAAAGTTATTTTAACTGCTAACTTGAGGAAAAGCCTGAAATATAGAAGGGAAAGTGTGACATGTAGGCATGTCGTATGTTTTATACCTGCTTTTATTAATCCAGACATTAAAAATAATTTACTTAGGTTTTATACAATTTTGGCATAAATACGTGGTCCAGAAAACTGTTAAAAGTAGTTTTGTTATAATTGCCTTTGTGTCCTTTGTTCTGTATAGCAGATACCTACTGTGTCCAAGGGAATGTTGTACAACACCCATTAATGGTCGAGTGGTTAGTGTCTATATATTACAACCAACGAATGCTGTGAGATAATGACCATACGCGTGGTGTCATGTAACAAACATAGAAACTGTGATTTACTGTCTCAATACGGATCCCTGGTTCTCGAAAGTTCTATTTGGTTTTCATCTCGAGAGAAAAAACAAACAAACAGAAGATTTATTCAGTAATTGAGTAGATGCGATCAGCCATTCGTTTATGTAGGTATTCACATTATTTTTTATTGTGTCTAAATAAAGACTGTTTTCACTGTCCGTCAAACGTGTGCAGTCTGTCTATTTCTCACGCAACTTAAAACTTAGTCGAATTTTTAGATTCAAATTACTCCCAAATGCCCTGTTTGGCCTAGTTGTTGTTGAGCAGGCCTATCTAATATACTTGAGCGGAAATCAGTTCACCTGAGAACATCACACCATCAGTTGGTTGGATATATGGTAGTGACTTTCAGCGGACAAAACAGAAATATGAGGTACTTTATTTACATAATTTTGACTTAAACTCTGCAATGTTTTAAATTTAAAAATAAAATTAAAACCGTGTGTTGTGAGACGCTATTTTATTCAGATTTTTAGCCCTAATGAGCTTGTTTCCCAATGCTTTTCGTGGTAAAATTGGGGGTTCGTAACGTTAAAAATCGTGGTTCGATACCTGCGGTGGGCACAGCACAAATAGCTCACTGTGTAACTCTGTGCATAAACACAAATAAACAGTAATAAATATAATTTAATGAGCTTAATTACTTCGCTAGTTTTTAGGCATTATTACACTTACATCCTAAACTGGTTATGAATCTTCTTTCGCCTTAGGGCCCAGGTTACACATCTCACATGAACATAAAGTACATCAGTACCTTACACTTGTTGAATATATCTTCTTGCAATACATTCCAATGTTAAAAACAAACCGTATCTAAGACCTATATCAACTACAATAGAAATAGCTTATACGGATTACAGATCGACTTGTATTTCTGTGTTAAACATCCTACATACCCCACTTGTATTTGTTGAACATATCCTTTAGTCATACTCTTCAGTTTTAAAAACAAACCCAATTTCAGATCTGTATCAACTACAATAGAAATAGCTTATACGGATTACAGATCGACTTGTATTTCTGTGTTAAACATCCTACATACCCCACTTGTATTTGTTGAACATATCCTTTAGTCATACTCTTCAGTTTTAAAAACAAACTCAATTTCAGATCTGTATCAACTACAATAGAAACAAATTACATTGATTCTGGATTGCCTCAAGCCTTGTAATTCTCTCTAAAAGCACCTATACCTCACTTTTAGGACAATATTAAAAATAAACCATATCTCATATCAATAATAACGAGAAAAATATAACTTAATCTGATTATAGACCTTTTCCAGCCTCAAACAGTACTATTATAACATATGCCATAAATTACGAAGAACTATGGAAGAGTCAACTTACGTGGGTTCAGGGTCTCCTGTAGCTTCACACTCTAGAGTTATTGGAATAATTGGGTCATCGTCTGTGGTTACGACACGAAAGAACTGTTCTCTTTTTGAAGGCTGTACAACTATGGATGGAGGAGATGGTATATCAAGAATATTGATGGTTCTACAAATGTTCAGGACACTTGCGAATAACAAAAGTGACAATATGGTAGGCATCTTGCAGCTCTGGATGAACACACTGTGTACAACAAAACAAAAATATTATTCTTAACTGGATGCCTTTAAAGATGCATTATGTGCGGAAAATGATTTTGAGATTAAAATAAAAACAATGTCTGAACCTTCAAAGCTAAACAACCCACCTTCTGAGCCTTTTACACACATACACACAAAATCACAACTTTATTAGGCTTAAAATAATATTGTCACGACAGCGGAAGTCACGCGATGCAGGGAGCATGCGCGCTGGAGTTCCTAAAGGATCACGAATTATCGAGGAACCCCGCGAATGTCTGAATGTTTGCCAGGCGCCCTCTTTTTTAGTATATAAGCCCGGCAAATAAAGCCAGCGATAGAGAGATATGCAGATAGATTGAAGAGAGAGATAATTGAGTCAAGCGAACAGTAGGCACCGTAAGTAAAGTGTGTGAATCACTGTGATTTATAGTGTGTGTTATAAAGGTTGTTAAGTTTAAAGTGACTGTGGAAATTTTGTGTATTACAAAGTTGTATCAAGAAAGAATAAACTAGTTTTAATTAAAAAAAAGGACTTGTATCGC